TCAAAGGACCCCACATGTTCACCCAAAAGCAAGTACCGTATTTACATCCAAGGCATGGGTGCACCATGAGGTTAAAATAAAAAACCCTGTGGCATCAGTCACTAATTAGCTCCTGTTCTCATTGCATATCCATGAAGCTCACTCCAGGCAGATGAAAGACATATGCCAAGCACTTTAGAGACTAAGGGACAGGGAGAAAAAAATAAAGAGAACAAAAGTTGGGGCAAGGTGGGAAGAAGGAATGTCATTTATAGCTGTGTCCAGGATGGGGATGGGTCAGAAGCATTGAGGGAGCTAAAAAGGCTCTCTGAAATGATCAGTAGCCACCAGCAACAACAATAACCCTGTCCAGAGTGAAGGGCCATAGAGATCAGGCGAAGAAAAAGAAGAGAACAGGACAAAGAGCCCCAGGAGGTGCACATGTCCCACCGAGGAGATAATGTTTGTGTGTGTAATCAGTGGCTGGGGGTTTCTGCCACATGGAGAAGACATGGGTGTTTCCCATGCAGAGGGCTCAAATGCATCCTCCTGATGAGGAGGAGAAAGAGGAATTAATCCCTGATGAGAACTCTTGGAGGTTTGATGCTGGAGATGGAAGGCGTGAGGAATGATAAGACACTGATTAGGTTTCTGAGTCAGCAGCAGACACATATTCCCCACGCTACCGTGGCAAATAGACTGGTCTATTTGCTCTCCCACTTGTTTGTTGCCTAACTTATCTTCTTGACTCATTCCAAACCCTGCTGATAGCAGAGATAGGCAAACTACACACTACAGTCTTTTCACCAGCGTGTGGTGCACCTTCTGCTGCCCTATATCCCTCATCAGGAATAACATCACAGCAGTCAACTTTTTTTTGCCAAATCAGAAGAAAAAAAAGGTGAAGACATTGGGAGTGTAATGAGAAGGGGGGATCCTGGAGAGGAAAAATGGGTTAGGAGAGCTTCTGGGAGAGGAAGAGGATTTTTGAAAAAGTTTTCATGCACTTCAGCCAGAAATGTGTCATGTTGGCACTGTGTTTCAGTGATGGTGATGTGCTCACCATGAGTGAAGCACAACCTCATGTAGCAGCAAGGCACAGGTAATATGCAGTACAGTCTTTCATCTCTCTCTGGATATGATAGAGTTCTGTCAATGCTTACTTTTTTGTTTTGTTTTGTTTTGTTTTGTTTTGTTTTGTTTCAAGGACAAGATGACATTTCACAGTGCCTGCTTAGAGCAAAAGAACCAGCATGGGGCTGGCATGGGGCTCAGACTACAGTCCTGGAGGTCTGTGAGCATCACTACTGCAGCCAGTCCCTGCTCCTCACTGCTTCTGAGCTCAGGCTTTTGGACCCAAAGTAGTCTCCTAAGCTCCTCTGCAAATCCCTCTGCAATTCCTTTTTAACTAATATGCTTTGAGGTTAGTGCAGCTGTAGTGGGCAGGGAGGAAAGGAGGAATTTGGGAAAGAGTGCAGCATACTCCCATGTTCTTCACTTGGATCAGGTAGTCTCAAACAGTCATGGGTACCTTTGAAAAAAATCAAGTAATTTCCCTCTTTCAATGAATTTGCAAGGGTAAAACAAGATAGACTTTGTATGTGCTGCTGGTTGAGAGTAACATGGGCAGCAGATCACATCTCTCAGCTCATGCTGTAAGAGCCCAGTGGGAATCCTGTCAGGTTCAGGGAGGCTGCCAAAGAAGATTGCATTGGCTTTGGTGGGACTTGACACCAAATGGAGGTGGGAATAGGGTTGATTCAGGTCTGATGGACCTGGGACCAAAATGTCCTAGGGGAGATGAGTAGTAGAATAGGAGCTGTGGATCTGGGGTCCTGCACAGGAAATCGGTATGTGTGGTGGGAAAGTGGGTGGAGGGGACTGAGATATTAGTGACGGGAAGGCAAAACCATAGCAAAGAAGGGTGATGTGGACAGTGTGGGTGTACCTCCTCCTATGCACACACATACTGGCTTGCAAAGGGATCTCCAGAACCCCTCCTTTTGCTCCAAGGGACCCTGAGCTTTCCTTCGCACCTTGGCTTAAGGACCACTGGTGTCATGGCACCTCTCATGACCCACCAGCTGTCCTGGAAAGAGTGTCTATGCTGCAGTCACCTGTATTGGAGCCAGGAGAGAGCTGATGTGCTCCAAGACATTGTCTTGGTAGGGAAGAGTCAGGTCATTTGCAGGCTATGGGGTGCCTGGCAGGACCTGCCTCATGGTCACCGGCCCTGTCCCACACTCACGTGCTGGTGTCACATACACACTGACAGCAAAATCCCTGCTGCTAATATCACCTAATCCCATATAACCCTAATCCCAAGTAATGCCTTGCAGTTTCTACTTTATAAACTAAATGCAGTGTCTCAAGAGGGTGCTGCCTTCAGCGCTCATACAGGGTAGCATCATGTACAACTGCCAAGACTTCTCTCCAATGGTCTCTTCTGCCTTCAGATGTGTGAGTCTGTTCCCCAGGAGAGGGACAGGCTCTGCTGGAGTGGGCTGCATCATCCCCTAAATGAAGGAAGACGGCAGCTCTGACCTGGAGGTCTGGATTATATCTACTCTACCTGTTCGGTGTCCAGGTTAGTCTCGCTGTTTGTAAATTTGGCAGCTCCAGGTTTTACTTCTTGGTGCAGCATTCCTGCCTATTTTATGAAGTTCCAGTAGCCTGTCTGAGAAAGGCATTCGATCACCTTCAAAGTGGCATCCCAATGCTTACGAGAAGCTTTACTGGTGACCAAGGTGTTCTCAGAAACAAGAAGGGCTGCCAGAGCAGACCTCTCTCCTCTGATTAGCAACTGCCAAATTTTTATACCTGGCATAGCATGGAAGTCACTCTGTTCCTTTGGATCTTCATTTTTCTTGACTGGGATAAATGCCCACAAGTGTCCTTTCATGTTTGAATTTTGGCAAGGATATCCTCAGCAGGCTCTCTTTCAGGCAGTTCCTCTTTCCTGCTGCACAGGTGGCCACCGCGCCAATACGGAGTGCACATGAAAGGTCCAGCCTGAGAGTACATGCTGCTGCTATTGCACATGTGGAAACTGAATTCATTGAAAAGCGGAGAGACTCGTGGGGAAAGAGACCCACTTTCAGTTTTGCCCCCTACCATGCTGCTCTTGGAGGCAGAGACACTCACCTGAGTTGAATTAGCTGCAGGAGGTGTAGCTGGAAGGCTGCAGAATGTCCTGCTTATCAACTCACAAACATGAGAATGTGATTTCATGTCACAGGCTCTGTCTGGGCTGGCAGAAGCTGGTGCTGGCTGGGCACTGCTGAAATTTCAACTTTGCCTGCTGCTAAGGCACATGAGGTCTGCTTCATGCTTTGTGGCTTCTAAAATCTAAGGGAAATCTCTTGTTCAATGTCATTTCTACTGCAGTGGAGTCAGTCAGGAGATCCCTGACTAAACTGCTGGAAGGGCACTGTGGGTGTGTGATCCTAGATCCCTGACTTTTCCACCCTGGATTTACAAACTTTACCTTTACTTTTTTTTTTTTTTCACTTTTTAACTTTCTTCCTTTTTCCAGCACACATTTTTCCATTCCCTCTACAGTTGAAGTGATACAGAAATTCTTATGGATAAATGTTTACGACACTATTTAAATAGGCAGCTATATCTTGTAGAACATTTGCTTTACTGTGTTGCAAATGTTGCATTTTGTATTGTGTAATGTGAATTATGGATATGTGTTGCATACAGTCTGGGATAGGCCCCTGCTTGTCATAGATGCCAAGATATAATCACACTGGACCAGATTCACTTCTCCCAGTTCCTCACCAGGGCTCATTTCTTTGTGAAAGCAGTACATTTGCATACTATTCCCAATTATGGGGGTATTTGACCTAGAGCCAGAAAAGAAGGAGTTGTCATGATGATTGCTAAAATTCAATCTCAGTCTTTATTTATAATGAGGTTGAAAGGGAAGCACTTAGAGGGCTGTAGCCCACCCTGTTCCTTATCACCTACTTGGCTGTATTGGTAAATTAACCAGATGGATCCAAACTATCCTACAGCCTAGTATGAAGGAACACACAAAACTCCAAATGCAGATCCCAATCTGTTAGCAAATGACAAGTTTATGTAGTAAAATGCCAAACTAAACCCTTGCATTCAAAACACCCTTCCACCTGGATGTTCAAAATCCTGCACCAAACTGAAGCTGAGTGCTGAGCAGCACTGTGGTATTTCCAGAAGTTGCTCATGGAAGCTTCCTCCAGAACCTAAGCCTGCTTGGTGCCAGAGGATGCTGGGATTCACATATATTTGGCCAGTTCTTGGTGCAAACACCTGCATAGTGGGATGAATTAGGTCCTTAAGGGCTACAGAAAGACTTTGGAAATAAAAGTCTATATTTATATGGTACGTTTTATCCCAAAGGACCCTAAATCAAACTATACAAACTTTACATGAACAGCAGAACTGAAATGCAGCTGCTTCAGGAATGGAGGGTGACAGTCAGCTGGCGTGTGTTAGCGGGACAAAAATAAGCCAAGTGACTATTTTTGGCCAAGGACATCAGGGCAAACCCCTCTATTGCGAAAGGGCCTTCAAAACTTCAAAGTGCAGTTTTACTCTAAATAGTGATTGTGGATAAATAGATCTTTTGTAGTCAATTGACTTGTTCCCAGGCACATCAGGGGAATTCACTCACTAAAATAAGGCTTTGCGACATATTATGCCAACTAAGGCTGCAGAACTTCCTCACCCAAGATAGCACATTTTTACTTCAACTCCAGTGCTGTTCACAGAATTGGAAGCCTTTCTCACACAGCCCTCACTTCTGATGGTGGGACACAGAAAAAACTGCTCCAGCTTTCACAGCTGAACTTACCCTAAACTGACACATCTGAAAATGCACATTTTCATTTGTTAGCTGGGCAAATAGATGTTGATTAGAAAGACAAATTTTCACCATGCCCATCAGGGTAACTTTTCAGCATATAACTGACCTTTAAATAGCAGTGTGGAGATGCCAGGACGTTTGAAGATCTTGCCACAAAACACCTCAGAGAACAGGCTGTGCAGCATATTTCGTGTCTTTTTGGGCTATCCAAACATTTCACAACATGAAAAAGCGTGGTTCCTTGCAGCAATGTCACTGACGAAATGCACAATATTTTTACAGGTGCGTATTTACTTTGGGGCCAGAAGGGTATCTATGCTTACAGAGTGCACTGCATCTCAGACATATTATTCTTCATGTCTCTTGCCAAGTCCTGTTCCATCTTGGCTTTGGCTTTCCTGACCTCATCACTACACATATGAACTCTATCCCTCTACTTTCCCCAAATCACCTGTCACTGTTTCCAGTGGCTGTGCATTTCTTTCTCATTCCTCAGTTTAAGAAGCAGATCCTTGCTCAGCCATGCCGGTCTCTGGCCTATCTTGCTTGATTTCCTCCACACTGGGATAGAGAGCTCTTGCACTGTAAGAAAAGGGGCCTTAAGAGCTGCCAGCTCTGTCCTTAAGGACAGTTTCTCAATGGATCTCATTCACCAATTCCTTAAACAGCTGGAAGTTATCTCTTGCATAGTTCAGGGTCTTGACTTTGCTCCTTGCCAGGCTCACGCTCCTTGAGATCACAGATGTTAAGATCTGTTCCTGAAGCATTCTGAGAGGCCCTGAGAGTGAAGAAAAGGAAAAATAAAGAAGGAAACATTTTGTGACCTCATTTGAGCTCTGGGAAATGTGGAAATGTGTGGGACAGGGGCATGATGCTCTTGGAGGAGCAGAGGCCAGGGAATGTAAGACAGCTTTCTTCCTGGTCAAAGAACTGGTGCAAAAATGCTTCATGGAGGTGGATCACACCTTTGATGTTGGAAGCAGATTACAGAGCCATGTCACACCAGTTCCCAAGATTCCTGGACAGGAAAGCTGGTCACACACACTAGAAGACTCTCCACAATATACCGGCAGCATGCAGCTCTCTATACCAAAATCTCCCTTGTCCTTTAAGTAATCCCCTTGCCTTTGTTCTGTTTGCATAGCATAAAAGCACTGCACTTTCCAGGGGAAAAAAAAAAAAGTTTTGTCTAATATTTGTAATTTTAAAGCTGAATTTCACATTTTTTTAGTGCATCAGCATTATCAGACTTGTGGTCCAATGTATAAAATCGACCATGAGAAAAGTCTAAGCTTTTGGAATGATGCTGCAGGCAGGGAGGGAAGCCCCACAGGCCAGCACTCAGGCACTCAAACTGGTTATGCACAAGTTCCACGGTTTTACACATTCATGAGTGTACTCAGGCACTCCAAAACAAAACCTCACCAAGCAATGAGAGCCTCCCCCTCTTCTCCACTCCCTGCCTCCCAACACAGAGCCCTGCAGGGAAATGTGCTGTGCTACTGCTGATGTTTCCCCCAAGCAGACTTGCATCCCTGGCAGTATTAAAAATTAATAAAGGAGTACAGAGTGCATTAACAAGTGCTGACATATTTCCCACAGTTAATTGACATCCGCCATTTTATTTAAAATTAACAAAAGCTTGCCAAGCATGCAGAACTTGTACATCATAGCAAAGGAGATGTCCCACACAGCTCATCAGGTCATGTCACCATATCACTGATACCATGTACCATACATCATGACAAATATTCCTAGTATTATGTGAGACCTGTATCCAAGCATCAATGTAGGAGGGCTGTCTGACACACGCTCTAGAAATTGCTACTCTAATGGATGCATGATACAGGCTGCTAAGACAGCCTTGTAGCATCTAAACCTTGTAGCTGTTCTCTAGCTGAGGTGAGTTCCTCACTCTTCCTTCTGCAACAAGGGGACAGATTGGCCTTAGCTCATGAAGCCTAACTGGTGGTGACGGGGAGCTGTGCTGCACTGCTGACCTGTTGCTGCTCCAGCAGTCATTAAATGGACTTTTCTGTGGTCCAGGTGTCCCACCGACATCTTACGGATCCACACATAGAGAGTGCAGGCAGAACCTTCTAGAAACCATGGAAGAAACCCTGGCACTGCTAATGACACTCTTAAGTGGGTTGGGAGTCCTCTTTTTTTCAGCAGTGGAGGCAGAGGACAATCTAGAGAATTGCATACACTATAAAGCCAAGAGCTCTGTAAGCTTCTCACAAGGCCTGAAGTAGAGCAGACAACTTCTAGATGAAGTTTTAGTGAAAGGCTACAGGGCTTGAGGTACTACCTGAGGCATAGCCTGAGATGGGACTGGTTTAGGTGAGCAGGAGTGATCTTGAACTTGCATGAGCTGCCCCATAGAGGCCAGGGCTGCACCAAGTTACCCTGACTGCATTTATTAAGTGAAAGCCTTGGCTCAGGGATAGCAACAGCAAGGGCTGTGCTGCCAGGCAAGCCAGTTAAATTAGGGACCCTTATAAGGTGACTCTAACAACACTACAAGACCTGGGGACTTCCACACGCTGCCCTGACGACAGGTTTCTGGACGGTGATGGCTGTCTGCTTTTGAGTAGGCTGATGCAGTGGCTCTCAGGTGAATTGCCTGTGGAAAAGTGCCTTTTCTCATCTTGGAGCAGGTGCTGTGAGCCAGTGATGGCCCTCAGCATACTTCTCTCCACCTCCCAAGCTCTTGATGAGGACAGAAGACATCTGAAATGCAGTTCTTCCAGAAGAGCACCGTATTGAGCTCTTTATGCTCTTCCTCTGCATCCTTGTTCTTCTGGCACTGCTGCCAGTGAGGAAGACAAAGCTGGGAAAATGGCAGTCAAAACTGCATGGCAGAGTTGTGCCTGGTGCAAAACTTGCAGCTATTTGACACTGGTATGGCAAATAGCCCAACACTAATGGCCACCTGTGCCCAGTTACCAGTCCAGTTACATTGGGGACAGTTGGTTTATTCATAATGGTTTGTTGGGAACTTGAACAACGATAATACCCAAAAGGTGAATCACAGGGATTTGATGATGTGAACATCCATGTGGAAATCTGTGACTTCTGGCTATGCTCTGTCACCTGCCCCACTGGGTGCCAGGGGAGCCAGCACACAACCCAGCAACTCCACCAGGTGTCATGGTGTCCAGCTCACTGGATGTCTGAAGCAACTCTTCTCTCTTTCTCCAAGCAGAAACAATGACTGGGGAAGTAAAAACCATGTGTTCATTTGGAGATTGCTTCTGCATACTAGTTTATATGAAACAATTACATTGCAACACCACACATTTCAAAGCAAACTTCTTTGTGTATCCAGCTCTGAAAAGAGAATAGAGGTTCTCCTCACATCTTAGCTGAGAATTGGACCGGCGCTTCCGAGAGAGCTACCAACTCTTTTCATTTAGGCTGTGGTGAATTGGCTCCTTGAAAAAGGTACAAAGCCTCACTTTGATTTTCAGTTTCTAGTCTCTACACAGGGGCTGAATCAAGGTAACTTAAACTGTGGCTTTGATTCACGTTTCCAGAGTTGGCTTAAGATGTAGTGTCATGGGCTCCCTGCTATTTGTTGTCATCTGCTTGCTGGAGATTCACACCTGCCTGGCAGAGCTGGTGGACCTGGGAGTGTCTGTGTGCATCTCTGGGCTTTGATGTTCACAGCTTCCCAAGACAATATTGAAACACAAGCATTTTTGATCAGAAATAATGGTGAGCACTGACAAATTAACATATGCCTTAAAATGCTCCCATTCTGTTCTCCAGGACAACATGCTCAGTATTCTGGTTTAGCAGTGTTTACACATACCCTGATCCAGTTGTTTACATCATACTTGGTAATTACCTTCACAGGGCTATTTGGTTGTTTCTAGGGATGATGTAATCTTTGCTTGTACTGCTTGCCCACATAGTTTGCTGTATCGAAGGGCCTTGGAGTACTTCCTCCAGTAATTTTATTTCACTGGCTCTTTAGAAAAAGCCATAGCTATTTTCTCATCTATCTGTGCCGAGAACTTCTGTTGCAGGGAAGAATACAAGGACAACCAACTTCCCGCCATTAACATTGTACAACTGGAGCTGAGACAGATTAATTCAATCTATACTTGTTATAAAAGAGGTTGAATCTTCAGCTGTGCTTATGCATTACTTAGTCTGAAAAAATTAGGGGACAAAGGTTTAAACAAACCTTTAGGGCCCTCTTCAGCTATCTTATTTCTCAGAGGTCCCAGGGGCTTTCATTGTAGCTAGCCCATGTGTAATGTCTCATCAGTTTAACCAAAGATCTCAGGTTAGCCTGGGATGGATAAACTGGTGTGTTTTGAAGCATGAATGCATCCCATCACACTCCTCCAGGGAATATGGGTGCAAGTGGGGTCATATAGGGTGCCTTGTGCATGATCTGGGCGGTAGAAGTGTCCTAGGCAGGGACAATACAGGTTTGGTTCGAATCTGTTGCCTGGATAGGGGACAGGAGGGAGATGCAAGTATTTGACAATGGCCTGTCTCTGCCAGAGGGGTTCACAGTTTGAGGCACTGTTGAAAAGTAAGTGGGTTACTGGAAAGGGTCTAGGGCAACATTTTTTCCCAGTTCTGTCCTATGCTTGCTAGAGGACCTTCATCAAATCAATCACCTACTCAATGCTATTGGTGTAGTGTCTATGAAATGGGTGTAAAACTATCTGCCTCCAAAACCCTATCCCAGTGGGATGTGATATCTAAGTCCTCACTTTGCTTCTCCTGCCTGAATCTTGATTTCTTTTTTATAATGGATAAAAAATTACGGGATGAGACAGAGAGTGTTCCCTTCCTCTCCAGCTATCCCACAGCCATGGGGCTTGGACATAATGCTGGGTCATGGGAGAGGTTTGAACTCCTTGGGTCTGTGGAAGCAGCTGTGCTGACTGACAAAGGTTGACAACCCTCACTGCTGCAATCAAGGAGTCCTGTCCTCAGGTGTTTACTCAGTGCTTGTGCTGGTTGTCACCATCCTGCAATGAGCTGGCAGAAACCAACCTCCTTGTGCCCCAGTTCCTCCAGGGCAAAAGTCCAGTCCTCCCACAAGTGGCTGATGAAGGCAGGTGTGTGGTTGCTTAGTTTTTGCACAAAACAAGCTGAGATGAGCACCCATGGCAAGGGCCACCAGCTCTGCTGGGAGGGACAGACCTCTGGCAAAGGGATGGGAACAGAGAGCTAGAAACCTGTGAAACCACAACTTGAACTGGCTCTGGGAATGCAAATCAAAGCCATGATATAAGTTAAATAGGTGCAGCATCTGTGTTCAGCTGAGCCCTCTAATCTTTGAATTGCCAAAGGCCTTGAGGTACCATTACGTAAGGCAAAGCTTACCAAAGGGCAGGTTGCTGCAGCCTCTTCTTGTCCTCAGCAGGTGTGGAGAGACGGTGTGTGGGTGGCAGGGATGTCTCTGGTTCCCTTTTAAGAGGGGTACTTTCACACAAACTGTAGAGGCAGCTTTCTGATCCTTTTCTTTCATCAAAATGGTACAGAAGAACTTCATGGGAACCAAAAGCTCACCTGGGCTTTTTAAAAAAACTTTTAGAAGGATTAACATAGATTTATGTTTGAGAAAGCAGGCTAATTCCAATCTAAAGCGCAGGACAATTCCCCCCAGTTCCCAGGAGGGTAACATCATAATCCATTATTAGCTGTGCCAGTTACAGTTATTTCCTTCCCACATTTCCTTTCAGGTGTCAGACTAGAGTGCAATTGCTTTTCTTCCTAAGAGCACTATTTTTAAATCTAAAGAATTGGATGTTATTAATATAGTAGGTGTTGTACTGTGCAGCCCATTCTATAATGGGGTGTTTATAGCATCGATGCTCTTACCCAGTCCATTTGTAATCAGAAGTAATAGCACCACTTCACCACTTGCTCTGCTTGAAGATGCTGCAATAAATTCCAATGAGCCATAGCTTGGCTGCAGCTGGTGAGTGATGTAGAAGCTTTGTGCATTTTTACTTCTTTAATGTTTATAGCTCTTTTACATTATGTGAATATTGCCAGTCCCAAGGATTCAGCTGTCATGAATCAAGCCTCAAAAACTAATGAGATTTTACAAAATGCGTGCATTTGAAGTATGTTTTATGGGCCTTCAAATGTTTCAACCTTTGTGCTGAAACACAGCACAAAGCCTGACATGCTGTCAGGCTTCCCTCATTTTCCTGCCATAATCTTGTTTTAAGGAAGGAAAAAGAAAGCTGGGATTAACATATGATCACCAGATTCCAACAGCTGGCCCCTACCAACATCACCTGATATCAGAAACTCAAGATAATATTGTAAGAGCAGTCAGCACAGTCAAACAGATCCTCATAACTCAGCTAAAACTGTCACCTAGAGCTTATACACCCCTGGTTTTCTGTGGAAATAAAAGCTTTCAACTCCAGCTGCTTCCTGCTGTGAACTCCCCACATGCAAGTAGGAAGGAAGGGTTCACTTTGAAGTAGTGGCAACAGAACCCACCGGCCAGCATGGTGTGGGCTGAGCAGGGCAGAGCATATGAATATGCCACCCTTGTCTTGTTGGCAAGGAAAGTTCAGCAGCACAGACCCCCCTAGCCAGCAGCTCAATGCCGTTGCCTGCTCCACTGATGCAAGTGTCTGCAAGGCCACAGCATGAAGTGGGCAAGGGAATTGATCCAGGTTAAAAATAACTGTGTCTCTCCCTTCCTCTCTCCCCTTCTCCTCCCAATTTTTAAGTATTACTTCACACCTGGATCAGTTTCCTGCTCCTGCTCGGCAATTGGCACAGCAGCAGCAGTAGTGTCACAGCAGGTAGATGACACCTCTGAAGGGGTAGTGGGGATGCAGAGCATTCCAAGTGGGAGATATCACTTTAAGTACCTAAGAACTTTCTTAGGACCGATTACAGACCAAAGGGTGCATATGCACAGGAAATGGAAAGAAATTATTAAAAATCAGAAAAGGGATGATGTGTCGTCTCCAGTAGAAGTAAGGAGAAAACTAAAGTTTGAGAATGGTGTTTCCTGGAAGGATAGGCTTGGATTTCTTGCAGTGCTCAGGGAGATATGTTGGAGGGCTTCTTAGTAAATAAGGAAGACTGCACCTAAGAAACATCTGTTCCTGGCATCTGTTCCTCTTAAAACTCAAACATAACCCCAAATTTAGTTTGAGACTACACTGAAATGAACGACAATTGTAAATGGATTTGACTCCGTATTCTGCACATTTCTTAGTGCTGGGATGCAGGACTGCTTCTATTGAGACTGGTGGCCTTAGGAGCAACTACTCTTAGAACAAACTTAACGGAAGGGTGCTGATGGGGAAGCAGTATGGGAGGGGGTGGCAGCATCCACTTCTGTCCTTGCTCAAGTAGTGTCCCTGCCTTAGTCCCAGTGGTCACTAGTTTCTTTCTGATGCCTCTAGAGCTCCTGAGCCCAACATTTACATGTGTTTAAAACTCCGGCTATTTTTCACTCTTTTTCTAAACTACCAAGGGCAGTTGTCCCTGCTTTACACTGCATTTCTCCTAACTCTGTTCTCTGTCATCTCCCCATGCAAGTGTCCTCAACTGATATGTTTTTCCACTCCTATTGCACTCATCTTCTTTCTTTTTATTCCTTCTTTATCCCCATTTCCTTAGTTTTCTTATGGGGATAATGATTATCTTTCCCCTCCCTCTTCTTTCTACTCTGATGAGCCTCTTCTGACTAAAAAAATGGATTTCTAAACAAAACATAACCAAGCAGGAAAGTCAAGATTAACAATTCTACTACAAGTTTATTTTTCTGAGTGAGATCTATAGGGATGTGCAAGAGCTCTCATCATTACCTTGGTATACATTTGTAAGACAGAGTATTACTTTCCCCAGACTCCATCTCCTTTATCTTTTAAAAGTGTTCCCTTTTGACAGAGATTACATTACTTTATCAGTTTGCACAATTTCTAGAACAACTGATCACTCCTGAAATATAAATGCCGTATAATCATCAAAATAATACATAAAGTGCTCATTGCCTGCAATCTCAGGATGTCTGGAGTTGTGCACTTCATAGGCATCTCTCTCTGATCGCCCACTTAGGTAGCTCTAAGGAACTTGGAGCATCCTCCAGAGATGACAAGGTGCTCTTACCCTCACACTACACATGGGCAAGAGTGATGTGCCACAGGACACATCACATGTCCCTATGGACATGAGAACCAGTATCTGCTGAACCCTTCTGCTATGTTTTGATCTTTGGTCTCCTTCTCTCCACATGGTGATGGGAAGCAGGATGTAACTTCAGTGGAAGCAAAGCCTCCAAGAGCCAAATGATTTCAGGAGTCCCCTTGAAGGCAGCCATGGCACCTGGTGGACTATAAAGGGGGGGAAAGAGAAGGGAATAATATGAAGTCCACCTCTGTTTACAGACATCCTTTATTTCTCTTTTAAATAATGCTATGAGCCAGTGTTTTCCAAGGGGGAATATGGAGGAAATCGCCATCTCCACATGGACTCATGTAAGGAAGTAGCTGGTCCCTGATACTTATTGCTGTACATCAGCTTGGAAACTTTGGTTGAAACACTGCACAAAACTTCATTTCTCTGGTTATTTTCATCCTCCCTCATTTTGTTCAATTAAGTATTGATGCTTCAAGGAAAAAAAAAATAAAAATCCTGTGGGAGTTCATCTCACCCAGGACAGGGAGCGCTGGAGCACAACTGGAGGTAAGATTGAGGTACTGTTGGGCACAGGTTTATTCCTGTTCTTATTTTAGCTGAACCAGTTCATCCACCCTGACAAATAGGTGATAAGGCAGTGTGTTTATAACAAATATCCCGTATGGCACAGCTGCACTATGGATTAGGTAACATCCATGACTCACTGCAGAGTTATTGGGACACTTCATTCCTTCCTTTGCCAGTGCCATAGACTTCACCAGGCACACACTAATCAAGCCTCACAGCTTTTCTGTTAGGTTAGGTGTAATTGTAGGCTTTTTTCAGACATAGGGACTGAGAATCAAATCTTCCTGCCAGAGACACCAAGTTGTTTCCTCTGTTTTTTTTCTGGGGTTGCTTGAAGCTCCTTTCAAAGAGCCAAATCCTCACAGGCTCATGCAGGAATTATCATCTGGTATTGCCACACCTAGGGAGTTCCTGGCCAAAACTTTGATATTTGCACTGGATGCTGGGCACCTAGATCCAAAATAAATAAAAAATAAACAAGGTTTTAGTAATCCTGCTGTAAACATGAGCTACAGACCTAAAGGGCCCCAGGTGTCGAACCTCCTTCAGTGGATTTTGAGAATTATTCTCCATTTTTGTTTAATGCAAGAGGGTTTTTAACAGATGTACTGACCTATCCAGATGGTCAGATCCATGGTAGCTTTTAGGGGATGCAACATGGGACTTTCTCTGCACAACTGCTAAAGCAACACAAGCATGGAGTACTTGGCCAAGCATGGGGAAGAAGGGGACTGGATGCTCTCTTTCAGTGGACATGTCCCAGGCATCCAGTGCTTTTTTTCCCAGCCTATGTTCTCAGCTGAGTCAGGTGCATAGGAGGCTCTATCAGCCATGGATTTCTTTTTCCACCCCTATGATTCATATTGAAGGAGCTCACTCTCATATTATTTTACATCATCCTTAGGCACAACAGAGACAAAGGCTCCTGTAGAATATCAATAATCATATAAAGATGGTGAATAAGCCAGGAAATAGGAAAAAAATCTATGGCTTGCTACCCAAATGGCCTCTTAGTACCCACTCCAAATGCCCTCAGATGGGACCTTCATAGACAACATCAAAACTCAGGTGAGTTTTTTACTCTAAATGCAATACCATTGAAGTCATGTGGAAAAAAAGTGCTCATTGATTTCACTGTCACTGAGGTTTAGTGTTGCAATAGGGGGACTAATTGTTGTTCACTGAAGCCAATGGAAAGAACTGTAATAATCTGAGCCCATGATTTGGCTTCTGGTGTCAGTACTGCTTTGGACTGGCTAAAGCAGTTGCTGCTTACCTTGTCCCCATCAGCTGATCACTTGTGCCTTCGTACAGCCTCCTGAGTTGCACCAGCCCCACTGTTTGTGTAACCACGCAGTAAAACACCTTAGAAAATAACCCAGCATAGTGATGTTCCCAGCACAGCTCACCACCTGGCTGCACAAACAGCTGTGCCAGCCCAACAGACAGGTGGCACAGGGTGCAGGATGAGGAGTGAGAAGCAGCTGCTCAACGCTGCTATCAATAAAATGCCCCCCTTGGAAGATGCTCCTGGGTTGGTCACGCAAAGGGACTGAGCTGCATCCATGGGCACTGTCAACAGGGTCTTTGCTTGAGCCATTTCACTTGCGTTGGCTCTAGCATTTGGAGGCTTCACTGGGGTAACTGGGCTTACTAACCTGGCAGGAAACTAGACTGTCTGGGAAAGAAAGAGGCTAGTTTTCTACCGGGCTGTTAGATGGCTTAATTGTCTTGTATGATCTCAATGTATGATCAGATCTTTGATCCTTTTTACTTATACAAGCATACATGGTCATATGCATAGTTCTGCCTATGCTTAATGGAAACAATCCATGTTTACAATGGAAATACCAGAGAGCACAAGTCAAAAATGTGGTGACTAATTATATTCCTTCAGCATTACTGTACTGGTTTTTTGTTTATTGAGCTCTTCTATTCCAGTTCAAGATTCAACACACAGGCTCATTCCCCGGCCTTTTCCAGGACATCTGCCTTGTGGAGGGCTTCTGCAGAGATGGCTTTGTACATCTTCCACTTGTTAATCCGAAGCTTTTATCGAGATGAACATTCCCATCCCATGCAACACTCCCAGCAGTTTTACTTTCATGTAATTCAAAAGCAGAGTAGCCAGGGATGGGTTTTTTTTCCTAATTTCTGCTTTTAAATTCCAAGTTTCAGGCAGAAAAAATATTTACAGCTGTGTTATATAAACTAACGAAAAACAATGTTTAAAATGAAAGTGCTGGCACAACTTTACGGAGAACAGCAGTGGAAATAGCCATATGGTAATAAACAGGCTACTTGATACAGTTTATTGTTTAACTCCTTGCTTACTTTTAGGAACTTAAGCTTATGTTCTCAAATGCACGAATCCTCTGAGACACGCAGACATGTTTGGTTAATCACCCAAACCTGAATCTGGGTCTCCCTATGAATACATAGTCTTGGAGTAGCTCAGTGAGTAAGGAGCCCTCTCAAGCAGGGACTGCCTGTATTTCCACAGAACACACAGAACACCCCATTAAAAAAACCTCAATTTCTGAGGCAAACAAGTAGAAATTTTGATTTTTAAAATAGGGTAAGAAAATGTCTGGACATTAGCCAGTTTTCCCAATCCATTGAGAAAAACAAAAGAGAGTGAAAGATTTTATATTACTGCAGTGTTGCCTTTCTCATGCATAGCTGTGATAGTTTCCTAGCCTGTAATTGTAATGGCATGATGAGATATTTATAACATGCTAGGAAAAATGTTTACTTTTTAAAGACCATCACAGTAGCATAGTAACAAGCCTTGAAATCCGTCTTTCCTATAGCCCAAAATCACTTGATGGAAATGATTTTTATGTGTTGGCTGTTGGTGTGCATATTAAAGCCATTTCTAAGGAAAAGCTGTAAAACATACACCCGTATGCTGCACTCTGCACACATGACTGCACAGCCAGATTAGGCCACATGGCAGTAAAAGTGCCCCTGCCTGGTCGAACAAGAGCTTCTGCAGTTGTTGCCGCAAGTGAAGCCACCCCGGTACCAAAGCAAGGGTGGGAACAGCACGAGTGCAGATAAGCCTTTACAGTAAATCAGCTATAACATGGCTTGGCTCCAGGCCCACATAATAACTAACCAGTTTTATGTTAATTATTTGCTATCCTACATATAGCAATAGTTACAAGCCAGTACTAAGCATGAATGACTGCAGTGTGTAGCTGGCTTTCATAAAGTCTTTACTTTTTGGCATACTGCATCACTTTCTAACTGACAGTTGTGAATGATTCAGATTATTCCTTTTGCTTGTGCTTCTTTCTTGCAGTCTCTCACGAAGTAATGTTTTAAAGTGTGTTTATAAGGATAAACAGAGGCACTCCTACATTTGGATATTTGACTCCACAGTTCCTGTGTGTTATATAGTAATTCACCCTTACACGCCAACTGCAAAACAGTCATAGTTTCCCAAGTGCCCCAGTAAATCTGCTCTAGTTAGAATATATTCCTGCATCTGGAATGTAATTACCAAGAAGATGGGCTGCAAAACCACAGAGTCCCTCTCTACCCTCTTCCATCCTGACCACAAGTCTCCAGTCCCCAAATCACAATGCAACATTCCATTGGGGAAGCTAACCCAGCTCTTTCTGGGAGTGATTGAGCTGGTCCAGCTTTGAAAAGTCAGCACATTATTTCCCCCAGGGTTACTTTTTAAAGCTTGCACGCCAAAGGGGCAGCCTGCCTCAAGACTGGAAGGGGCAGAGAAAAATGTCAAGGAAACAAATACATATAATTACTAGTGCCTTGACAATTCCCCTAGTGGAGTCATAGTCTGAGACCTGTCTCCATCACAAAAAGATCACAGTAGGAACCTATGTGGTTATGTGGTGCACTCACTCCCTACACAATTCCACCCAGGGACTCTCTGTCCCCTTCAAAATTTCAAACACAGAATTCCTTTATAGACACTTAAATGCATAAACTTCCCTTAAGTGCTCGTAGAAGTATTGCTCTAGGTCTTACCAGCTTGGTGTCCACTGGTAAGGATTTTGATTCTCCATCATGACTTATCTACTCCTTCAGGGCTGGTGTACACTTTGAAGAGTTACTAGCATAGTTCTATGCTACAGGTAGCACCTATGGGTTGTGGAGTGATAGTTGACAACTTTACAGCAATGCCTACTGTTAATTGAGAACCAAGGCTCACAAGGAGCCAGGTATGTTGTGGTAGCAGCAGAGTCTCCAGCAAAGCAGGAACAGAATGAGACTTTGGAGAAATTATTCTACAAACTCTGATGTTGCAGAAATATAAGGGCAATGCTGAATGCTCCGAGCTCTCACAGATTTCAGTGGCAGAGCAGCTCTCAGGTTCTGAAAATGAAAATGGTGCACAAATGGCAGCAGCTGTCCACTGAGGCACCCCAAATACACCTGGAGAATTGCTGTGTCCTGACTCCACCACCCAAACTCATGAACCCTAAAACTATGTACCAAAGCCTTTCAGCAAACTACGTCACAAGAAGGAACAGGACAGAGAATTGAGCATGTGTTGTGCTGTGGAAAGGGCAGTGCCAAGATCTAGAACTTGTATTACCCTACAAAGGAAATGAAGACTTCGTAAAAAAATATAGGAAGAGCGTTAGGAAAGAGCCCAGTTCTTGCAGCCCTCATTTTTCTGAATGTTTTTATTTATTCTATTTACAGCCTCTAGTTTTTGAGTGAGTCCAACTATGTTTCACCTTAGAGCTCCACAGCTCTCAAATGCTGGAGCCAGGCGCTGGCTGCTGCCCAGCTGGCCTCTGCCCTAGTTACGCTCCGTAACGCAGTGAGGGCTGTAGTATCAGTCCTTTCCAGGGCTAAACCATGTCACGGACTTTTGATCATTAAAGGAAATGAACTTGAGATGACATTAAAAACAGTAAATAAGACTTGTGTACAAGGACATCAAGATTACAAAGCAGCAGTCTCAAAGGTTGGAAAACACAGTGTGCAGAGCTGCTGATTCAGTGGTGTTCTTTGGCAGGAGTCTAAATGACAGCAAGATGTGTGAGGCAACAAAGAATAAAATCCTGAGTATTCAGCTTTCAAGGAAATTTGCAAAAAACAGTCTCAACAGCCAAGATTTACATGTGTCTTCTGAGAAAGAATTACTTTCTATGAGAAAGTAATCATCCCCTGCACTGCTGAGCTAATGATGTATAAAATAACTCTGACAAGCCCAAGTCCCACAGAGACACTAGACAGCAGAGGAGAAAAGAGGGAATCCAAACAAACTACTGGTGACCAGAAAACAACTAGAAGCAGATCACTAGCAATAAATCATAACATGACATTGAAGCTAGGCTCATCTTACAAAGAGCAAAGAGGAGAGAGAGAATTGCTAAGGGCAGATGGCAGTGCCTTTCCTGGTGATATAAACACAGATGAATGCGTATCATTTCTGAGTACTGTATATAGCCCTGCCTATCTCAACAGCATAAATAACTGGAAAGAACTTTAACACATTTCTAGGGATTGAGTTTTATTTGTTCTGTGGTTTACAACCATTAGTTGCATCTAATTCTATTTAACGTGGCTATAGCTTCAAATATTCCACATTACAGAAACTATGAAGTTCAACTGGAAGTGTTTTACCTGCCAAGATCTGAATTTCCTGCAGTAGCTGATGGCAAAACAAACCTACTGCAGTGTAACAGGAGGTTACGTCCTTTACACGGTTATATTTAATCTCTTCTGATGCTTATCTGAGTTGTAGCTGAGTACAAGGAAAAACAGACTCTACATTCAAATTGTTTTAAGTATGAATAGTAATGGCAACAACCATAACCATAATGCACAACTCTTGCATCTGCCTGTCCAAGGAACCAAGGAGTTTTTTATATTTTACATGTAGTTCACCCTTTATTCAAATATTTTTCACAAAAGTTCTGTGGGAAATTCCTTGAAAATCACAAAATGTGCCTCTTTATAAGGAGTACTAGAAGAAATGTAAACCTGATCATACTGAAGATATGATCACATACATAAAATGAACAAGTTAAAACTGCAGTATATATTCTTTCTCTAATAAAATTTGCTTACAATACCTTTTGGAATATCTATAGTAATGGATAAAAAAATATTTCAGACAGTAGGGTGTCTTGCCAGAAAAGAATGTCCACATCATTACACATGACTAAAGCTTTCATTTTTCTATACTATTTATGGGTACATTTGTTTGTAAACTTTTTAAAATGTTCTTTCTACTTCTTGAGATTTACTTACACCATTTCATACTTATTCTGTAGAACAAAGCTGACATCTCCAGATGGCAAATATAAACATCAAAAGATGGACTGCCACTCAAAAACACGTGGGAAACATTTGCCAAAGCTAAATACAGTCTTAAAGAGTTTCAATATTAGTGTAAGAGTTCTTCTGAATATGCCATTAATAGTGGTGCAATAGATCTAGCGCTGACACATTGGAGGCAGTGAGCTGCACATAGCAAATACTTTGCTACCCACAAAATGGCACTTATTTCGGGATTGTTCCATACTCAGGAAATCATACAGTAAATCGAAGTTACAAATTACACAAACTGTGTTATAAAAAGCAGCACAGAGTAAATGACATACAAGAAACATGCACATGTGCATGGTGGAGGAAGAGAATATGGGATTCACCCTTTTTGCTGAACAAATATTTGACAGTTTAACAGTTCTTCAGCACTTCTTTATATGTAATCAGATAACTACAACTACAAATTCACCTCGAGGACTGACATTTTTACATTGCAATGGCTTCTTTGTTGCTGCAAACAGAAATAAATACACAATAAATCAGTTCAGAGAGGAAATGCTTTCCACCATACTTGCCTTTGCCTTATTGTGAGAAACTATGTGCATGAAGTTCTTAGTAATTTTTTTCTACTAGCAGTATCAGCCTGCTTCACATATCGGCAGGGGTGGAAGGGGATCCTGCTAAAATCCCTTATGCATTTTGTCGTGACTGGAGTAAGAGAAGGCATTCGTTGTGAGCTAGGCAATTCAAAGAGCTAAGGATGAAAGAGTTCACTCAAAATAGCAGACAATTAGTTTGAACTTTGCCACACTCTCCAAGCAAAATACATTTTAAGTAAAATATTCTACAATGTTTTCTCAGACAGAGGAGTCCAAAAGCCTCGCTCATGCCTTACACCAGCCTCAACAGAGATAACTCTCTATGACAACAGGTCCTTGCCTCTGACACCAGTTCTGCAAGTCACATGGTTGCATAAGAATCACGCTTCTTTTGGAGACTTGATCGCTTGTAGACTCCAAGTGGAACACTGAGACTGCCTCTGAAGACCACACCTTCAGGCACTTTGGTCCAAGTCTAAATACAGGTGCTCTTAAGGTGTTTTTTTTTCCAACATGATCTATGGTTTATTGCCAGCAAAGAAGAAATTGGATTTCTTTTTATACCTAAATCATGGTAAAAGCAATGTGTAACATGAGCTAATGAATCTATATTGAGCAGATTTGCATGGCTTGATTCTGCAAAGGAGATCTGTGGCACCAGTAACAGTACTGCAGTCGTACTAGTGTCCTCTCTGCAACCCCTGTCTACTCTGCGAGACCGACTGATATGTGTTAATTTGTTCCCCCAGAAGACCACTTTCTGTGGAGAAAATGGAATCCACTACTTTAGCTGCCACACAGAGCACTTTCCTCAATTAGAAAGCACAGAGGAATTGCAGGTTCTGATGAGTTTTAGGAACACGATCCACTGAGATCCTCCAACTGTAGTTTTATGAGACACTGGCTCCATCAACCACGATGGTTAAATTTCCTGCCCTGTGACCTCCAGCTACTCACTCCTGGTGTTACACCACATCTCATCACCCCTGCTGTTGCATCAGAAGTTATGTACATTGAGCCACAGCCCAATTTATAGTCTAGCCCTATGGAGTATGATTTCATGGACCCACCTGAGGAGGTTGTGAACTTCAGCACAAAGGCAGGAGCAGTCAGCCGGAGCAGAGCAGACACTGTTTCAAAGAACTGCACTGTCAAAGTCAGCTTATTGGGGAAACTTCACCTGCACGTTTGGGATTCAGTTAAGCCAAATTTATAACTGAAAGAAGAAGTCCCACTCCCTCTCCTGTCTGCCAGCCATGCTTTCTGCAAGCTCTTTCCCAGGGATGTACATCAAACCATAAATAAGCCAATGCAGAAAGCTAAACTGATATAAAACTCATTGCTTTTTTGCAGGCCCAGTTTTCTCCTGTCTGAATCTTCTGATCTGACTGCCTGTGGCTCCAAAGAGCACCAGGAACAGCACAAGGATGTGTCAGAAACACAGGAGGGGGAGCTTTCAAGGGCAACTTGGCATTAGGTTTGCTTAGTCAGGTTTGGTCATTATCAAATGGCATCTCCATGATGAGGTGCCATCCAGGCTACCCACAAGTTACACAAGTCACCTTACAACACCCCCATGAAAGCTGGGATACCTCAGCACAGGAAACATTCATGTGGTCACTCCCTTCTGCTTGTCATTGTCAAGGGGTTTCTTATTGAGCAATGTAGCTGACTTCCTCTTTTGGTATCTTAGAAGAGCTTTTCTTTTGGGATTTTGGCACTGCACCATTATTTCAGAATTGTTTTATGAAGGAAAAGGAATTTAGATTCACATGCTCTTCAAGAAATTCCTTCAGTTTGATATCCTACCTACTCCAGTTGTAGAGGCTTCTATGAGAACAGCAACGAGAATGAATGATGGCAGCAGTGATAATGAGTGCATATGGGAATCCCAGGAAAACTTTAATCATCATCATTAACATTTTATTTTCTGCAATGCAATCCCTACTCTGATGTACTACAGTTTGCTGTAGCAGACTGCAATGCCCAGTGCTGATAAGAATCTGCATAAATATGAAGAGTAGGCAAGCCATGAGGAAGAAAGTAATCACAAAGCTGGAACTACCATGGGAGTTTTCCCTTCTGATTTTTCTTCTGCTGTGTGGGTGTCTTTCAGGTCCAGTATGATTTTGAAGTAGAGGAAAGGTAGTCTCAAACATATAGACAGATGATATCTAGTTTCCCTAGTTCCTGGCTTGGTTGCTCATTTATAAATTTGTGTCTTCACAAACCATGTTGCAACTTCTGGTTTTAGCACTGTTTTGCCCAATTAACTATCTTATTCGATTGAACATTAAATGAAAGTAGTAAAACCCACCAGGCTGCAACAACAACGAATTTTGGTATATGTGGTGGAAAGTTTTTCTCTTGCAACTTGACATTCAGGAAGAAACACAAACTTAGAGTAGGGACCATTTGAAAATGGATCATACAGGTAAATTTGTGAAAACAGTAAAGGAGGGAATTTCTGAAGTATATGAACTCATAATGCCAATGGTACATAATCTAAGTGATGAATTCCCAGCTGAAGATGGTGACCTAATGTCACCATATATTTTATAAGAAGGTTATAATGAAAGTTAATAATATTAAGTTCTTTATAAAATGGTTCATTAACTGAAAAGAGATGGTTCTTCCTTGGACAAATTGCCTTAGAAATGTTGGCCTTTGGGGCCCTGTCTTCATTGCTAAAATAGAATTGTGCCAGCAGAACTACTTTATACAGTTTAAAATCAATTTTGCAATCAAGGATTCTGTTTATAAGCTCTTTGGGCTCAATTTCACTGCAAAGTTAACCTGAGTTGTAACTTATTACAGCTATAGCTGGTTTCCTTTCTACATAAAAAATATGAACCCCAAGCCTGCGGTTGCTTTTGATTAGAGGCAGTGAGTTTAACAGAAAGATAGAGGCTGATATTGAAGTATCTATCTTGCCAGATACCATTTTTGCACCATTTGAATGATATTAGTCTTCCAATGCCTTCTCATTCCTCCTTCTTTATTGCCAGCATGCTCCTGCTCATGCTTGCAAAAGAATGAATAGCACAGCCAGTTCGTGGTACTGCTAAGAACCATTAAGGTTTGCAGAAATCTTGGTCCCTGGTTTTATGTGAAGTTTACTATTGGTAAAACCCACTTTCAGTGTTCCTGTCCCATCATCCTTCCTCAGCTCTGCCCTTCTCTGCCCCAGCATTGCTCATTTCTGCTGATCCAACATTTTTTAGAGGCCTGAAAAAGATACGCTTTCAAAGAACGGTTCAGCGGCTCCTAGCATGGCATAATACATCTTCTAGCACAACAATGAGGGCTCCAACTCAGGCATGGCAGTGGGCATGCCGGGTCAGAAAACTTAAAGCAATATTGTTACTAAACATTCAGCACTGTGAAGCTTTGACTACCTTAGGAGACACAAGAGAAGCTATACAGACATGCTCCTGGGGGCAGAAGCTGCAAATGACCTTTCATAAACTAGCAAGAGACTTGAGGCAGCTACTGCAAGAGCACATTGATCACTACTGAATCCCAACAAAATGCAGTCAGTGCTCAGGGGGTATTAGGGAGGCCTAGTTGTAATTTTTCTGACAAAGAAACCTGCTTGAATCCCCATGTCTCACCTCTCAAAAATAGTCTCCTCTTTCAGCAAAAAGGATGTAATGCTGGAATCAAAATGTCCAGTAGCAATGATAGTTGTGTTGTAGCAGCCAGTGTGGGAAAGAGGAAATACAGATCGAGGCAGGAAAGTTATTGCTATTTGGCTTGTAAGTGTTGAAAAAGTTTCTTCATAATTGGTGGGAATTTTGGTTTGCTGCTCTTAGTTTAAATGATGCTATACAAAAGGAAGAGGGGGGAATTATTCCAAAATGTTGAATGTTTTCAAAGGGAGGAGACCACCTTTATTGATAGCAACAGTGGGAGTCCAATAAGAACAATTCAGATCATGGAAAAAGCAGTGGCTTCTCTAAGACTTTACTTGTAAAGTTTCATCCCGCAGATCTCCATTCAACCCAGGCACAGCCCTCCAGTCCCAAGTGGGAAGGCAATGCTCTCGCTGAGACTGAGGAAAGAGCTTCTCTCCTCCACTTCCCCACTGCCTGCTTTTCTCGCTTCAAGGGCAACTCAGCCTGCTCCTCTGCAGCTACAGAACTGCCACAAATCGAAGTCTTGCTAAAAAGGAAACTCAAAATTTGGTTTAACTGCATGTGTCTGAGTCTGCTCAGAACTACAAGAAATAGTTCTTCAGGTACATAAACAGCAAGCAGAAACAGAAGGAAAATACTGTCCCATTGATAAACAGGAGAGGTGAACAACAATACTGAAAAGGCAGGGGTTCTCAACGCTTCCTTCACCTCTGTCTGCACCAGCACTGCTGGGCCCCTGGCCTTGGGAACAAAAATCCAGGCTAATGGAAACACAAGGGCATAAAGCAGAAGTAATTATCACAGTCTGCTCAGCAGAAAACTGTAGAAGAGATGTGGACAGGCTGAAGAGGGTTCAGAGAAGAGCCACAAAGATGATAAGGTACTGAGAGGCCTGTCAATGGAGGAAAGACTGAGAGAACTGGGTTGGTTCAGCCTTGAGAAAAGAAGGTTTAGGGTAGACCTTATCACCATGTTCCACTATTTAAAGAGTGGCTACAGAGGAGATGGAGATCCCTTTTTATAAAGAGTCACATGGTGAAGACAAGGGGTAATGGATATAAGTTACTCCTGGGGAGGTTCCAACTGCTTACACAAGGAAAATTTTTCACAATGAGAACAATCAGCCACTGGAATAATCTCCGCAAGGGAAGTGGTGGTTTCCCCAACATTGGACACTTCTGAGATTCAGGTGCCAGGGTGCTGGGCCATCTTGTCTAGACTGTGCTTTTGCCAAGAAAGGTTGGATGAGATGACCCTTGAGGTCAGTCCCTTCCAACCTGTATTCTGTGATTCTATAATTTAAAATGACCAGTTTATGTGGGTGTTCTTGGCTGTGAACTGTGGTGGTTCAGCAAGACCCTGGAGAGATGAAAATGGAATGAGGCAGAAACATTCTCCATGTCTCCCACTGTAAGCCAGAGACTTTATTTGCACAAAAGTCTTGAGAGCCCTACATCAGAAGGAGGTGACATGACCGGTGATAATTACTCTAAATTATGTATAATAACACCGAAGGATATCATGAAATCTATCACGTTGAACATTATATACTGAAAGGTTTTGCAACATAAAGGGCTGTTTTTCATTATCCACTAAGGGTGAATTTAGCTCTAAACAAAATATACAGGAAAATACAGTTGCTAATGTGATGGGAATTATTACTGTGTAATAATTTATGGATCTTGTTTGTCGACTTTGCTATTGGGAAATTCACTATCTAAATATATTGGCTTGATCTAATAAGGGAAAATCAGGCTGACCTAATAGATATCTGGAAGATAAAATTAGCAGATGGAGTAAGAAAAAACCCCAAAATGTTCAAAATAAGCCACTTCTTCACACTCTGTTCAGCAAGCTGTGGGAGCTGATTCTGTCCCTGTACTATGCTCTTGTGAAAACCCAACCTGTACTGCTGCATCCAGCTCTGGGGCCCCCAAAACAAGAGAGATATAGGCATGTGGACAGAGTCCAGAGGAAGGTCACAAAGATGACTGAAGTACTGGAGCATCTCTCCTATAAAGACAGGATGAGAGAGTTGCCTTGAAGTACCCAAAGGCGGCCTACAAGAAGGCTGGAGAGGGACTTTTGACAAGGGTATCTAGTGTCAGGACAAGGGGGAATGGCTTCAAACTGAAAGAGGGTAGGTTTAGATTTGATACTAGGAAGAAATTCCTTACTGTGAGGCTGGTGAGGCAGTGGCAGATGTTGCCCAGAGAAGTTGTGGATGCCTCATCCCTGGATGTGTTCAAGGCCAGGTTGGATGGGGCTTTGAGCAACCTGGTCTAGAGAAAGGCGTCCCTGCCCATGCCAGGGGGGTTGGAACTGGGTGATCTTTAAGGTCCCTTCCAACCCAAACCATTCTATGATTCTATGAAATGTGTTTGGATATTTAGAAGTTAATGGGGGGGGAAGGACTGCAAGAAGAGCAAAAGGACTATTTTAGGTAAAAATGGAAGCAGTATGTGCAGTGGAATCAGGTTGTCACGGCCATAATGTTTTTGAAGTGAAAAAGGAAAGGCATTTCAAGAAGCTAGATCTACCTGTCTTTTTCTGAGGGGCTAAAAAGACTTTGGAAAAATGGATATGAGTTTTGTTGGTTTTAAAATCTTTTACCAATCTCTCTCGCAGAGAAAAATGGCAGAGATCAAACATCATACTTAGTACCACAAGTGAACATCATAGTGTTGTGCAGAACTAGATTAAGCAGGAAAACTGAGGAATTCATGACGAGATGAGTAATACCACAAAAAAAAAAAAAAAAGAGCTGTGGTCTGAGAGCAGAAAGAAATGTGAAATGTGACTATATCTATAACCACAGTAGCTGCCCTGAGCCGTTTCTCACCTGAAAGTTCATCATGCTTCTGCGAGGAGCAAATCCAGGGCCTAAATTGCGCAAACACCACAGTTCAGATTCGAAGCAAGAAGGAATTGTCAGATCTCAGGTGGTGTCTGGGTTTTGTTTTTCTTTTTAAGTAATAGTCATCTTTTTCTAATGGCTTAATGTCAAAAGTATGCTTGAAGGAGGAATTTCAATGAAGAAAGCTGGCGGTCCAGCCCAGGTTCCATTGATTCAGTGGAATTGGCTCCAGTCCTTGTGGGACAAGTGCTCCCTTAATTTTAGACAAGTCTACTTCCACAATTAGACAGAAGGCTTTTTTTTTCTTTTTTTTTTTTTTTCCCTACATGCTGAGTGAGATACATTACTTGTAATCATTATATACTAGTTTATTGATCGTGGCTTTTCAGTATTCACTGTAGATAGGCTTGTTTTAACAGAACTGTCAAGAGACATGTCTGGTTAACAAACAATTACTGACTAAAGGTGTAGCAACAAGCACAGGGATTTTGTCAGAACATACAGAAATGTGCAGGGAATTTTGACAAAAGGTAAAAGTGATTTTCTCCTGAATCTGACATTTTTCAAGAGATGTTGCCAGAGTCTATTTAATGACATTTTAGGGGTGGTTCAATATTTTGTTTTCATCTCTGCTTCTTATGTTTTAATATTTGAAAAGACCAGATGAATGGAAATTATTCACAGGAATTGCATATATGGAAAATCTATAAGAGCCCATACGACGGATTACACTGGCCCATTGCTTATAATATTAGGTTACTACTAGAATGTATTCTGGTTATTAGGAAAGCTGGAAGTGAGTCAATTATTCGAATAAACAAACAAAGACCTGGTTGCCCCGTAGTTTAGTGCATCCCTGAGACGTCTGTAGGCTCCTTTCCCACGCCTGCTGTCTCATTCCCAAACTAGCAGAGGCTGTTGTGCAAGGCAGCCTGGCAACTCCTAATGAACAGGTAGCTCAATGCATTCCTCAGAAGCAATCCCTGCACGCTGTCCCACCTCTCCAGGTTTCAGGCAGGGACAGGGCATCAACTGCATCTTTTGTGTATCAGAGGAGGGAGAAGAAGTTTGGCAGCTTAAGGAAAGAAAAGGATCAGCTTATCTGGCCAAAGGAATGTTCCTGTGGTCCCTCCAAAGGGGCCATGTGTTCTGATTGCACGGAACACAGCAGTTTGGTGTGTCAGACATTAGAAGAAGGTGAAAAGGGAGGTGTCAGCCTTTAGCTTTCCCCAAAAGACTGGAGGACAACTTCAGCAAAAAGAAGTAACTCAGCCTCACAACTGACAATGTAGTTCCCAGCCTTACTAGGAAACAGTATTCCTATATGCAAATTCTTAGGTAATTGATTGGGGTAAACAGAAACAATACAAAAAAGATACAAAAGCTAAACATGCGTTGGGACAAAGTATGAATATTTTAATTCCTTAAGAATGAAAGTCTATATTTTTAAAAACAACTAATGTTTTCCTTTTCCATTAAGGCCCATGGCATCCAAAACCATGTAAAGCTGTTGGCCAACAGGTTTATATTTACCCTGGGAGTTAAGCTAAGATTCATGACACTGCTATTTATTAATTCGCTTGTTTTAATGTCTTTGGCTTTTGCAAGTTATGACACAGTAAATACATTTGTGTCACTTAGCAACCTCAGCTGTTTCTAAAGGAATGTCTTTTGTTCTAGGAAATCTATTATGAATGTAGATTATAAAACAATTATTGGGGAATCTAAGTTTGTCTTATTTGGGTAGTGTTCTGGCTTTTCCCACTTATGCATTTGAAGCGTGCACAGGAAATTAATTTACTCTACACAAGCATCCTTCATTGACACTATTGTTATGAAGAGAAGCTCTGCATATTTAACAAATATGACAGAAGTTTCTGTAGAAAATAAAAGACATGAGAAACGCCTGAAGAAAGGAAGGACTGGAAAGGACCTTCTAGTCATTGAGTTCAAAGCTGTCTTTCTGTTTTGTAAACAACACTATAAATACTTTACAATTGTGATGCAACACTACATAGTCTCTGTCACATATTTATCAACTTGATTTATTTCTATACACAAAGCCAAAGCCTGAGATCACAGATCACACAGCTCAAGCAGAGGGGTTCGAAATGTAAACACCTGCATAGATTAAATATTATTTATAATTTGTACATTGATTGGGTTACAGGGTTTCCATAACATATTAGAACATGTGCATGATCCTGAACACATACGTGAAGTGGAAGGACTGAGATTACTCTGGATTGCAGACTTCAAAGAATTTAAGGGTTTTCCTTCTTTGTCCTTAATAGGTTTAAAGCTCAGAATTCACATACAGTTGTCCACATTGTCAGGATCAGTACAAAAGGTAAGATATATAAATTGACCGTTATATTCTGAAATAAAAATGTATCCTCAGGAAACACTATAAAATTATATCAAAATTTTATAAATTACCACATAATTAATACAATTAGTGTACTTGTTTATGAAATTCAGATTTTGTTCTCTGCTAGGGATATCTGGAAGACAATTATCACTAAAAATATCTTAAAGACTGTTTTCTAAACATTTGAATGGATAAAGTGAGAATGCAAATGAACAATAATCATATAAAGGAACCAACTCTTGTTTGCAACTGTAATGTCTTGCTTAATAGAGTGACTTGGACAAGAAGTTGCCATGAGAATTTTGGCAATCCCAGAAGTGAAAGAGACAGTACACAGAAATTTATCTGAAAAAAAAAAAGAATAGCAGCAATGAGTGAAAGAGACAATACATAGAAATTTATCTGGAAAGAAAAAAGAATAGCAGCAATGAGTGAAAGAGACGTACACAGAAATTTATCTGGAAAAAAAAAGAATAGCAGCAATGCATATTGTCAAATTTCTGCTGAGAAAAATGCTGTGAGTGGTCAGAAAAAACTTGTCAACAGTTTTGCAACTCTTTTCATACTTTTATTTTTAAAAGAACTTGCCTCTATCCTTAGTGTTTTGGGCTTTGCGTGTTTTTTTTGTTTGGTTGGGTTTTTTTTTAATTGCAGTTATTGTGGTAAACTGCTAAAGTAAAAGCAGTGCTGCAGAACTCATCACCACAGTAGAAGACCAAGTATGATAACCAGGCTGCGATTGTCCTGATCTACATGAGAATACCTTGCTACAGCTAACTCAGGACTTGGCCAAATAACCTGATGGTCACAACTGGAGAAGCCCCAGCTTCTTCAGGGCTGAGCTGGCAGCCTGTCACTTATGCTCACAAACTCTGCATCAGAGCACCTATGACGGCCACTTTGTTGCAAAAACCACTGTTGAAGTTCTCATTTCTACAGAGGGGCACCAGCAAACAGCTACCAGTTCATAAACTGCTGTAGTGATTTCTGCTGGGAACATCCAGTGGTGGCTACAGTCAGTTTAGACCTGCCCTTGTCATGGAATGGGGTTTAATCACAGAAAGGTCTCTGTGTGCTGACACACTGAGATCCAGTCCACAGATGCGATTACGATGTAAAATCATACTGAGCCCTTTTTGACGCAGTTTTCCCACATAAGCAAATCTTTGAGGGAGAACTTTCCCCCATTTACACTTTTCTCTTTCAGTCTTATTGTGAAGAGAGCAGATAGATTACTAAAGTAGTGGCTGAGATTCCAAATTCCTCTAGGAGAACATGATCTGAAATGCCCTTCTTCTGAAGATCGGCAAATCTACAACACTCACTTTGTTGAGGTGGTAAATCTATTAATCCTGATCAGTAGCATTCGGCCATTTTCAGTGTGTTTAGCCCTAAAATCCTCAGCAGATGCTCAGTCAATTGTCAATCAATCATCACTAAAATTTTGCATTTAAAAAGATCTGAGGACATCAGGATTCTAATGACTGTGCTCTGAGCTCCCTGTCTGTGGCACTGATCTGCTCTATACTGCCAGCTTTTCCCAGTGCTGCTGTTGGTTAGGGATGCAATGAAGTGCAATTTGTGATTATCATTTCTGGGCTCATGAAAGCCCCAGGTGTAGATGTAATCACAAGGAGCACTGAGCTTTTGCTGGTATAGCTTATTTTGCTTTTGTGGGAGAAGAAAAGCCTGGAATAAGCTGTACTGGTTTATTGCAGTTTTGCTTGTATAGAATGACAGATTACCTACTTCGAAGTGATCTGAATATAGATATCCCTTGGAGTTGAAGTAGATCCATCCATTGCATCTATGTAGGCCTGCTTTTGTTTCACTTGAATAGATACTGCATAACTAAGGAATAAAAGTGTTTTCTTAAAAATATTTTGCTATGGGGCAACAAAATTTCACTTTTTCCTCATCTGCAGAACAATGCAATCTGAGTTTAAATTGGCAGTTACCAAGAAGGTGCTACAAATAAGAAAGTATTAGTACCTTAAATATATATATATGAATAAATATTATGAAATTAAGTAGCATGCTTTATGCCCAGCTCATGTAAATCTAGACTGCAAGTGAAATAACGGACTCCGACATGTAGGCTGGAGAGACCAGTAACATGCTAGTGACAGGCACGTTCACTAACACATGGACATATGCACAGGGTCTCTTGCTTTGTACAGCAAGTGAAAGTAGCTTAGGTGAACATGACAAACGGACCAAAGGACATGCCCTCTCCTTTGCCAGCTGCTTACTGATTAATCAAGGGCACAGTGCTGATAGTAGTTATGTGTATGAGTAACTTCCACTTTACTTGGTGCTCCCAGTGGAGCCGACCACATGCCCTGTCACGTGAATGAGTGTGTTCTGGACCATGCCCCCAGAGTTCCGACACCCAGAAAATGTTATTTAAGGCTCATCATAGAAACGTCAGCACCTGCTTGAAGAATATGATGATGGACTCAGGGAAAGGAACGGGACTAGGACAGGGAGAGGCAGGACAGAGCCTTGGTGCAGGTGATGCGGCTGGCAGAAATCCCTACAGAATGAATGCCCGCACAAAGCTGCCTCACGTCTGCTAATTCTAGTGATGAAAAATAAGACTCCAAAGTAATTTCTATGCCAAGGAATGAATCGCAAAACCAGTGCGCTGCCGGGTGGGGGGACACGGCGGGCATATCAAGCAGGGGGAACGCGACCGCCGACCGCGCGCCGAGCGGTCAGAGCCGAGCGGTGCGGGGCGAACGTGCCGCGATCTCAACGCGGAATCCTGCGGGAGGCTACAACGGGCAACGGGAATCACAGCGCCACGTCCCGCTCCCGCAGATGCCGGGGCGGGACGGTCGCACTCCGCTGGGAAGCGCCGGCTCCCGCTTCCAGGCGCGCGCTGCTGCGGGAGAGCCGCATGCGCGCAACCGCCGGCCGCTCGCAGGGGCACCGGCGCGCGCCCGCACCGGCAACCTGCGGGCCGTTAACGGAGGGAGCGGGAGCGGCACCGGCCGGGCGGGCACGGGGCGGGCACGGGGCGGGCATCGAGTGCCGCTCGCCCTCCCCGACCCCCCCCGCGCCGACAGAGCGGTGCGGTACCCCCGCCGGGCCGCCGCCCCGCCCCCCCTCCTGCCAATCACCGCAGCCCCGCCCCCGGGACCCGAGGTGCGGGGTTTGAAAGCGGGCCGGTCCACGCGGCACGCAGACGGGGGGGAGGAGGACGGGACAGGCAGCGGCGTGTTCGGCGGTTGCGGGGCGGCCTCGCCCGACCGGCGGGAGCCGCCCCCGCGCTGTTGGCCGAGCCCTCCCCGCGAGGGGCGCCGGCCCCAAGACCGGCCGGCGAGCGGTTGGTCCGGCGGGCCGCCCTCCCCGCTCTCCCCCCGGCCGGCGCAGTGGGAGGCGCCCGGGCGCGCGCGTCACCCATTGTTTACAAACCAACGCCAGCGGGCCGAGCTCCAGCCGTGACCGCAGCGCCGGAGCCGCGTGTGCTCGCGCGCGCGCGGGGCGGCGGGCGGGCGGCGGCCCCGGTCCCGCTGCGGCGGCTGCGGCACGGCAGGGACCCGGCAGAGATGCCGTGCCGCCCGGGCGAGCGCTTCCTGCTGCTGGAGCGCCCGGTCGCCGTGGGACAGGCGGGCTCCAAGGAGGTGGACGCGCTGGTGGCTAAGCTGGGCGAGGTGCTGCAGCTGAGCGCCCAGCGGGCGCCGCCGCCGCCCCGCGCCCCGAAGCACCTGGGGCCGGGCAGTGCCCGCGACCGCGCCGCCCCCTACTCGCCGCGGTGCTGCAGCGGCGGCGGGGCCGGGCTGCTGGCGCCGCGTGGTCCGGCCCCGCCGCAAGCCCACCCGCAGCACGCCGAGACCCCGCGGCCGGACCGGAGCGGCCACCAGCGGGTGACCAAGCAGCTGTGCGGCCGCGGCTGGCTGCGGAGCGCCGCTCGACGGAGGAAGCAGCCGCCGCCGGGGCCGGGCGACGGTCCGGCGGAGGAGGAGGACCCCCACCGGCTCCTGCAGCAGCTCATCCTCTCCGGCAACCTCATCAAAGAAGCCGTCCGGCGGCTGCAGCTGGCGGCGGCGGCGGCAGCGGCAGCGGCGTCCGCGGCCTCCAGCGGCA